AAAAAACTTCGCTTGATAGTCAAGCAAAATCAAATCTTCGTAGCATCATTCACGGATTTCTCCTTGGGCATCCAAATAAAAAAAACTCAAGCCTAGCTGCAGAAATCTGTACTGTGAGAAATATGGAAGCTGCCATTTCCCACCACTGTATATTACTGAATCCTCACATCACAATTAGAGCTGCAGCTAACGATTATTTTCAAAATCGGTTAGCCGATTAAGTTCAATTAATCAGATAAAACCGCTGTCATCCCCACACCTGCTCCACCTTACTTCTTCTCCCCGCGTCCCTGTGCCGATCGTGGATGCGGGCGGTGAGCTTGAGGCGGGGAGGAGGTGCGGCGTGTGTAGCGTGGATGCGGGCGGGTGTGGCAGCAGCGAGCGTGAGGTGGGGAGGAGGTGCGGCACGCATCGGGTGTGGAGCTGTGGACAGGGGCAACTAATCAAAAGCCGATTAATCGTTGATTGAAAAAGTTGACAACTTTTTCAATAATCGATTATAATCGATTATGTCGATTAGTTGTTGCAGCCCTAATCACAATGGTCACAACCTTGCACCCCTGTGATGATACTTTGCTTCAATGGATTACACCACTCAGATTTGTAAAAATTGCATAGACTTTGATTCTTGGCAACATTTCATTTGCATGAATTCATAGCCAACCAAATAGTTGTTGGGTAAAATCAGGACTTTATAGGCAGCCTTCCTTCAGTCTCCCTTTGTTCTGTATTGCATTCTTTCATACGTACATACACATTACGTCCACCCTCAACTAAGCGCAGCAGTACTGAGGCAGAAAACTGCTCAGTTTGGAGGTAAATCAGTATTGCATGCGATTTCCCTCTAGCAGATCTTTCCTTCAATACGGACTTATGCCTTGTTCTACAATGTGTCTGTGTGGAGGCGGCCATCTTTGTAACAGATGGGCTTTGCTTACTCCTGTAAGAGCTTCAAGCAGAACAGTGAGCAGCACAGAAACATCAAATTTGAGTGCAGCAGTTCCTTAGATCTCACACTGTAGCTATATAGTAGACACGCAAGCTGGAAAAATACATTTGTTTCGTATTTTTCCTTCAGGCTCGAAGCAGTTTCGTTATCCAGATCTTTCGTAAATTTAGTTTGAGCGTTTTCTGATTGGCCAGAAAAGAGTCACGTGTCTGATTTAGTTTAACTTTGAATGAAATTCGGACGATCTGAAATTTCATTAAAAGAACATGCTGATTCGTTTACATTCGGCCTCATTTGAATTCGGATGCATCCAAATTCACAAAATGTTGTCTAAATTTGCATTCGGAAGGAAACGAAATGTACATGTCTAATATATAGCTGTGAGGATGTAGGTACCCTTACATACCAGGAAGAGATCTGCTACGGCACAATTAACATTTCTAAACGTTCCCTATGCCATAGCAAATCTTCACTTTGAGTGTCTGCTTGTCAAGTAGTAAGCATGTACGAATGCTAAAAATAAATCTTTATGAACTCGTAGAATACTGTGGTACTGTGACCAACCATTGTGATTACTACAATCTGTTCAGTATTTACCAAGCTTTTCTTGTAATGGTGAAACCTAAAAGCACTAAAAAAGCATGCCTCCTCTACAGCTACAGACCAGTACATGGGGAGCTCTTCCAGCATTATGGGAACATTCATTTTTTCTAGGTAAATCTTGCTTCGTTTTGATAAAACAAAAACAAACAAAAAAACACCCACATGTCCCTTTACAGGCACACACAGTATAAACAGTTTCCTTTCACAGCTTTTTTTTTTTTTGGACACTGCATAGGTATTCCATGCAGATGTCTTCAAAACATTTACAAGTACATGTCGGCGGTCAATATAATTTCCTGGCAAAACAAATGTACAGTCGTGTGAAAAAGTACACCCTCCTCGAATTCTATGGTTTTAGGTTTCAGGACATAATAAAAATCATCTGGTCCTCAGCAGGTCTTAAAATTTGGTAAATACAACCCCAGAAGAACAGCACATGACATATTACAGTGTCTATTTTTACAAACAAAGCCAAAATTTAGAAGTTGTGTGAAAAACTAAGTGCACCCTTACTTCTTCCATCGGAATCAAGAGGCCAGGTGGCTGCTAATCAAATGCCCTTGATTAACTGACCAGCAGCAAGTGTGACCACCTCTGCAAAAGCCAAAGTTTTAGCAGTTTGCTGGTCTGGAGCATGAAGACATCAGCAATGATGCCGCCCATCAGTCTGGGAAGGGTTTTAAGGCCATTTCCAAACAATTTATAGAGTCCGTCATTCTACAGTGAGGAAGATTCACAAGTGGAAAACATTCAAGACAGTCGCCAATCTTCCCAGGAATGGACATCCCAGCAAATTCACCCCAAGGTCAGACCATGCAATGCTCAGAGAAATTGTAAAAATCCCAAGAGTTACATCTCAGACTCTACAGGAATCAAACATGTTAAGTGTTAAAGTTCATGAAAGTACAACTAGAAAAAGACTGAACGCCTATGGTTTTGGAAAGGTTGCCAAATGTAAAACACTTCTCAAAAAAAAAAAAAAAAACCCACACGGCATGACAGGGCTTAGATTTGCAAAGTGGCATCTAAACAAATCACAAGACTTCTGGAACAATGTCCTTTGAACAGACAAAACCAAAGTGGAGATGTGTGGTTTTCGCCCAAAGCGGTGCTGTGCATTATGGCCAACCACAGCATATCAGCACAAACCCCTCATACCAACTGTCAAGCACAGTGGTGGAGGGGTGATGATTTGTGCTCGTGTTGCAGCCACAGGATCTGGACACCTTGTAGTCATTGAGTCGACCATGTACTTGCGGTATAGCAAAGTATTCTAGAGTCAAATATGATGCCATCTGTCTGACAGTTAAAACTTGGGCAAAATTAGGTCGAGCAACAGGACTAGAATCCCAAACACACCAGGAAATCTACAACAGAATGGCTGGAAAAAAAAAAAAAAAAAACCCAAGTCAGTCAAAGTCCAAACCTCAACACGATTGAAATGCTGTGGCGGGACCTAAAGAGAACTGTGCATAAACAAATTCCTGCAAACCTCAATGAACTGAAGCAATGTTGTAAAGAGCGAGACAAGATTCCTCCACAACAATGGGGGGAATTTATCAAAACTGGAGCAGCTGTGCATGGCAACCAATCAGCTTCTATTTTTAGTTTGTTCAGGTACCATTTGAAAATGAAAGAAAGAAGCTGATTGGTTGCCATCAACAACTGCTCCAGATTTGGTCTGCTCCAGTTTTCATAAATTCCCTTCAATGTGTTTTATGACATTATCAGATTGAAGAAAATAGGTCACCAGCACTCCATAAGTTAAAATGAATGAGTCCTTTTAATGGACGGTGCCATCCGTGAAGTTACTTCGAGCACCATTTATTTGATTGTTGGCCGGGACTGCTGAAAGGTGTGCGGAGGGCACCTCCATCAATTGCTTATGACATTATCAGTTTCTCAATTACTTCTAATATTGCTGCTAAAAGTGTTTCTACAAGCAGGTGAAAAAACTGCGGCAAGCCCTATTTTACCTGCTCTGGAACGCATCAAAAACGCATGCAAGTGCCTGAAAGCCCATGTTAAACTTAAAAAAAATATTTTTATTTATTTTTTAACCAAAAACGGCCCGGGACGCATCAAAAATGCTGCACAACCCACTGCACTGCGTGTGCGGAAACCTGACCGGATCTGCATTTGGTGTGAACAAGGCCTAAGTCATGATATGTAAAACCATAGAATTCAAAGGCGGTGTACACTGTTTTCCACATGACTATCTAGACCAGTGGTTCTCAACCTTTCTAGGTCCGGGACCCCTTGGTAACACTTGCCAAGTTGTGGTGACCCCCAACGGTAACATTTAGGAATGACGCGGCAGCAGCAGAGGGCGGGTGCAATAGCTAGTTTTCTATTGGCTATTGCAAAGTGAAATAGCCAATAGGAATCTAGCTATGCATTCCTAGTGTTTTTTTTTTCTGACTTATGGCGGCCTACGGCACCCAATGTCAGACAAAAAAGGTTTACTCTGCTCGGGAGAAAGTGTTTATCTCCCAGGCGGCCGGGAGCCGCTATCTAATAGCAGGAGACTCCCAGGCGACCCCTGGCAAATAGTCATTCGACCCCTGAAGGGGTCCCGACCCACAGGTTGAGAACCGCTGATCTAGACAGATATTTGTTTCAGACTCTGTGGGAGTGATTGTCATACTCACATCTTCATCCTGAGAAGGGTGCACTAACTCTACAAGTCTCTGGATAATCTTCTCTTCGTTAAGCCACTATAAAGAGGGAAACAAAAAGGAATTTTTTTTTATATTTTGCTATGGATCTAAAGCCTATACATGCATAACTTAGAATGAAACCGCTCTGCTGTGGAGTGCAAGTACTTCTTAGCCTTGAAGCAAGTGCTAAATATTGGTTTAGGTGTACAAAGTGGTCATCAACATCATGCCACAAAGTGGAGACAACATATGCTTGCTTCAGAATTGTTTTGTCTATGGATGCATCGATACTAGTATCGGTGCCGATGCCGAGTACTCGTACTTGCCCGAATGTTCCGATGCCTAGCCCGATACTTCAGTAAGTGAGGCAGCGAGTCATTATACTCTGCCCGGCTTCCTGATTGGCCGGGAAGCCGGTTCTATGCCCCCTCGTCACCTGTGACGAGAGAGCATGGAGCCAGCTTCCCGGCCAATCAGGAAGCCGGGCAGCGGGTAATGATGCGGCGCCCGGCTTCCTGATTGGCCAGAAAGCCAGCTCCATGCTTTCTCGTCACATAGTGATAAGCATGGGGACGGCTTCCCTGCTAATCAGGAAGCCGGGTGGTAAGTCTTTACATGCCGCCCGGCTAATCAGAAAGCCAGGTGGTGAGTCATTACACGCCGCCTGGCTTCCTTAATGGGACTTCCGGCATCGGTAAGTACCAAACAATAAAAAATATATATTGCTACTTGTACTCTATACTGAAATATCAGTATCGGTGCATCTCTAGTTTTGTCCATCTTCGAGCTAAAAGCAGAATAAAAAAAGGACGATGGGATTTTAGGGGAACGCAGTAAATTGCAGGTTTATCTTTAATGATATTACACATTTTAGTGAACACCGTAAAGGTTTTTAGATTGGCTTCTGTAACTCCACTACACAACATTAAACTGCAAAATATGCAAGTAGCATATTCGGATCTGTAACTTATGCTTGCTTTTGATTTTTTTTTTAAACCGCATATATTTAAGTTGTAGGACAGTAACACATACTTACATTCAAGACATCTTGCCTTAGCTGTGGCGGCTCAATACATGTGAGAAGTCTTAGCAGCAAATCCATAATTGCAGAGGTACCTATATGTTTTATTATCAAGTCGACAAAGTCATCTTTTTTCTTTAAAAACGCTACAATCTGCAAAGTGAAACCAAGTTTACATTAAAAGGGGAAACTAGAATGCATGTTTCATGAGCACATACTTTACTTTAAGATGCATGCTGCAACAAAAAAAGTCTGATAAAATATTTCTTTTTTTTTTTTTTAATTACTTCTGCTCCCAGAAAACAATTTAACACTTTGCCTGGTCTTCATAGGTGATCCAGATCCTAAGCTAGTGTGGTTAACCATGAACCACCCTCTGCAGTCCAACCACACTGACAAATATTAAATTAGTGGTCAAGGACCACACTCTTCTTGGGCAACAGGTGTATGTCTGGGACAAATGCTGATGGGCAGGGGAAAGGTATGAAACAAGAGTAGGACAAGGAGATTGCCAGCGGGAGAGGAATGACTATGGGAGGCAGAATACTGATGCCAGGAGGGAAGAGGGCCAGTGGAGAAAAAAGGACTGGCAGTGGCAGATAGGGGAGAGAGAAATGACTGTGGCAGGGTATAATAGAAGGGGGGCAATAGTTACTGGGCTTTGCAGGAACTCCACTATAGGCATCCCACAAAAATCAGCCTCCTTACAGTGATGGAGCTCACAGAAATTAAAAGATAGAAGTACTCATCTGCAAAATGGTTTTGCATATTGTTTAAGTGCAGATTTTCTTTTTACATGAATCACTGGACCAGCAGGTAAACTTTTTTACTGCCGAGACTTTCTGTAAAGTCAATTTTGGTGACCTTCACATTTTCCCCACGTCTGCACTTTAAGATACATAGCAATTTGTACTGTGAGCACATGCTCAGTTTTAAATCACTGCCGAGTTTAGGTTACACTAGTCACCAGTATCGCCTGTGGTCTCCCAGATTATATTTTCCCCATTACAGGAGTTACCTTGTTCTGCAGAGGCACTGTTTGCTTGCCCTGTTCTTGGCAGAGGCACGGTTTGCTTGCCCTGTTCTTGGCAGAGGCACGGTTTGCTTGCCTCATGCTGGAACCCCCAACAAGAACACTGAGCAGCAAAAACAGTCATATCACCAAATTTAATGCAAAATCACCTGAGGCTAGCAGTCAGCGCCAAGGGGCTGTAGGTACTGGATGGCTTAGGCACACATTCTTACAGAGTGCATTATGAAAAGTTTAATCAGGAAGACAGAGAATAGCCTCTGTTGTCTATGGATAACCCATGGTGCTCTATCAATCATGTTTCAAGAATGCATTTGGTTTGTAAAACCACAATTGGAGGAAAAAACTAAAAAACACACACACGAATGTGAAGCTGTCCAAACCATTAGCTTTCCTTTCAAAATTACACCGGCCACTATATTTTGGCATGCTTGCAAAAGCCAAAGGTCAAAAATGCAAAGCCTGGAAATTAATGTGGCCAAGATGTCAAACATACCTGTTCTGGCTTCCTGCTGATTAAAATGCTTAACACTTTGCTGAAGAAACTAGCAAGCAGCGGATTTAATGGGGAGTCATTTAAAAGGAAGCAGTAGAGCCTCTTGAGTAGAGATTCGTCTTCTCCTAGTCTGTCATTTATCTGAGATACATCTGAGGTTAATAACTCACAAGACAAATTGGGATACCTAAAAGAGAACAGATCAATGTTAGACGTGTGAAAGCGGACAAAGCCCAGGCATATATACCAAATAACTCGATGGATGTATAATCAGTTAAGATTTGTGCAATATATAAAGGGCCTCTAGAAGAGAATGTCATTTTAATTTTTTTTTGTTTAATATGTTTTTATTGTCGTTATTTCACTTAAATACAATACACTTTTACACACATATATACACACACACATACACACACATACATTTTGTAATTGATTTGAGCACCAGAAAAGCCAACTTTTTATCGTTTGGGAAGTTTATAATTACAACGGTGATAAAACAGAATGAACAACAAAGATTTGCTGTAGAATGAGTCACATTTATAGATGCATGGCTTTTTCTAAACTACATTAAAAATACATTGCACCTCAGGCAAGGACAGAAAACAATTTTTGGTAAAAGGTAAAATTTCTGACACTTTTTGAACAGGTGCTAGAGGGACAGAAAAAAAACTCCCCAATGAAAAGAAAACAGAAAATGAGAATCTCTCAGGGACCCATGGGCCATCTAAAAATATGTCACTGTGGAGCAGGATGCAAAAGACAGTGTACTGTTTCCACTACAGAATGCTCTGCAGCAGACTGGAAGCCCAGAGGTTCTAGATTTATACTGCACTTGGAGTGGAAGGGTGAATGATAGGTGGTACTCACAAGTCCAAAGTTAGAAGCACACTGGATTTCAGCCACATAAACCGGTATTGTTCTCCACTTGCAGCATTTTTAAAAAGTGATAAAACATGGGGAAATGTGCGTGCATTGAAGAAATGTGCTGAAGGTTTGTTTTGGTTTATTTTGAGCTGACAATCAGCAAGTCTTATCTAATGGTAGACAGGACCAGTAATGTGAGATTCTTTCACACGTCAGCCAGAGGAAAGGAATGCTTCCAGAGCAAGGGATGCGGTCACATCTGGAAGTAGTCTATATACACTTCTATTTCTTTTCTCTCAACCTGCGAGCTGAATGAAAGATTCCTCTATCCACACTGAACAGCATGGATGAACGAATCTCCCGCTCTGAGTTTTGCAATCCTACAGCAATGCCGGCCGCTGGCAGAATACCCAGATGGTGCTGGCAGGGTGCAAGCCACCGTTTGGCTGAAGATTTTCCAACATGTTCCTTAAGCTGAAGTTGATCTAACGACAGACTTTTGCCAAAGGAATAGGGCCACCAATGAAGAAAATGTTGGCTGATTCCTGCTGAATGTGTACTCAAGCTTTATTATGCAAATCTTCATGGCTTTATTTACCAGTACAGTGGTACCTCGGTTCACAGAACGATTCTGTTCGCAAACAGGAAGTTCAGAAAAATGTTGCTTCTGTTCGCGAACTCAGCAATCGGGTGACTAACATAACCCAGGGGTGTGGAAATTTTTTAAAAAACTACTTGTCCAAGGACTAAAGCGGGGGCCGAATCTACTTGTCCCTCATGACAATCTACTTGTCCCAATACCGTATTTAACAGTGCTAAGAAGGACATTGGTAAGTGCCGTCAGGTGACCGCGTTGACCAACGAGTGCTTGCAATTTGCGAGCGAAATTCAGAATACATGGAACAGGTACAGATAGTACACCCGTACCAGTGGACGGGAAGGACCGTTTGCTGAAAGGTAAGTATAATGGGAGGGAGATTTGTGCGGGTAATTCCATTTTCCCAAATTACTTTGGCAAGTGAATTTACCCTTTAGGGTTGGTGCAGACTTGGGGATTCCCAGGACGTGCGATCGTTTGTGGTTGCATCCGCATGTATGGGGTTACAAGTGCGTGGTAATCGCTGAAAAAAAGGTAGATGTACCTATTTTCACGACATGCACCACGCAGTTTTCAACCGTGATCGCGTGGGATCGCCTGGGCGGTATTGCAGCAGGAAAATGCGCAATCTGCCTGGGGGTGCCATTAGAAAATAATGGCACTGACAGCACGATCGGCGGTGGTGTGCGATTCCGTGACCACCCAGCCATCCGCTCTGTTTCGTGCACGATGACCAGGCAGTCACGGATCGCACACCACTGACGATCGTTCTATCAGTGCCATTATTTTCTAATCGCACCCCAGTCGTGCCAGGCAGATTGCGCATTTTCCTGCTGCAATACCACCCTGCCTGTGTGGTTGCACACGATCGCAGTTGAAAACACTGCACGTTTATTCGCATGCAGATGGGGGCAGCGGGGCTGATTTTCATTTTTTCTATATTTACTTTGTAAAATCTTATTATTTTTACTTTATCGTCTTTTTATTTTTTACATTTTTAATTATATAAATATTTATTTTTAAACAAACTGTATTGCCATCACACAGGGGTACACAACCTCTGTGTGATAGCATTTGGAGATGACAGGTTCTCTTTATTGACCCTGCCACCTCCAACACAGGAGTTCTAGCAGGCACTGTTGCTAGAACTCCTGCGACAGGAACGAGCAGCGGCCACCGGAGGGGACAGAGCCTGTCACTACTCGACGCCCCCCGCTCTGTCCCCGCCTACGAGCTCCCAGCGATCCACACTCTGTCCACGCTGTGTCCCCCGCTGTACGCTACGTCCCCGCTCTGGACGCTGATTTCAGAAAAAGAAAACCAGCCCTACTTGTCCGTAGCAGGGCTATAACAGTGAAAAAAACACTTGCCCGGCGCCCGGAACTACATGTCCCGGGCGATACGAATTCCACACCCCTGATAACCGCAGCCATCTTCCCTGCTCTGACACTGGTCATGGTTCCTCTAGTCGGGATCGTGGTCTGATCAGTTTTATTCGGTTTGAGACCAGAATCGTGGAACAAATTAAGTTCGTGAACCGAGGTACCACTGTATATCAGAAGGGAGCGTCAGGCACATTGGTTTAGTCTTAAAAAAACAAACAGTGTATAGGAAAAGACCCCTTCAAGACACAACAACAACACAACAGCATCTTACTTGTAACGCATTTTCTCATCCATGTCGTGAGGTGGCTCCTCCGTAATATAGGTCACCAAGTCTTCCAAGCACTCCGATTTTAATAAAAACTCCACAAGTTTACGATTCTGCGCCTTGCATTCTTGCAATATATCTTCCTCATCCATCAACTCTTTTAGTGTCACTTCATCTCGGTCTAAGAGGGTGTCTATGTGAGATGAAGAATGCAGGTCGAACTTCCAAAACATACTTGGCTGATGAGAAAAAGTCACATTTCAACATCTGACATTGTACACCATTTATGCAATTGCCTAAATTAACATCATGGAGATCTGATGCTTCATTGTACATGCTTAAGAGAAGAATGAGTGGAAGAGATTGTCATACCTTCAAGGCTATACTGACAGGTGGAGTGTTAACAAAACCTGGAAAGAGATCTAACAACTACTATGACAGAGCCGACATACTAAAGTGGCTAGCTCGGCTATGATCCAGGCTGTCAAGATCAGAAACGAAAGATTTTCCAACATCAGAGGACTTAAACCTACTGGAGTGTAGTGTAAATGTGCAGTCTGAAATAAATGTGCAATCTGCAAAGTACTTTTATTATGTTGCTCATTTATAAACTGGTCAATGCACTCAGGATAGGATTCTAGTGTAGCCAGAGTGCAGCTGTATTAATAACTCATGGCAGCCAATATTAAAGAGAACAGGCCCCTCGCCATCTGATTGGCAAGGTTGTTCTTAATCATTTAAGATGTGGTAAAGGAATGAAAAGTGTGACTGCCTTGGAGCTTCCTCCTTTAAAAACAAGGAAGCGATGGCAGCTTCATATTTAAAGTAATGCCTCCATTGCAAAAGAACATCAGTACATAAGTCAGCCGACAATGTAAACGTTTGATCATTAGGATGGGGTGAACATAAGGCAGTAGTTTTGCCTCTGTATATTGTACATGTTGAAATCATATATGCAAAGTAAAATAGTACCTAGGCCTTTGCTATTAGTCAAAATGTGAGCTTTAAAGAGTCCCTGTTGCTACCACTTCAGAAACCAAAGCTGTGACTACATTCTCCAGCCCCCATGTCACCAAAGGACACACCAATGACTTAGGGGTTAGAGAATGGGACCACGGCGCACAGGGGTGACCAGACATCAGACTGACCCAATGTGTGCCAGATCCTGAAGAAGTCTAAGTCAGCAGCTATCTGCACCGCAAACCAGGTGAAGGGTTAGGTATTAACCTCTTTATGGGAATGGCTTTTGGTTATAAAGTGTAAGCCAGCAAAAGTATATTTAAAAAGGGGCCGGCCAAAAAAAGGCGACATTTCACTTTGGTACATACTGGAAAGTTAAAGCCAAATTAAGTTCCTAAATAAACTAGTTAAAAAAAACATTGAATTTGCAGGAAAAAAAAAAATCACCGTTAAATTCATTTTTTAAATATAGCTGTCCACTGCACATTCAGGGCTGAAACCCACTTGTGCAGTGGTAATGCACATTATAGTGGATTACTATAGCACACATTATAGTGGTGCCTTTAATTGTGAATGGCACCCCAACTCACAAACTTAATGCAGCTCCAACACACATGTTGCAGTGCACCAGAAAGTGCTACTGTGCTGAACAGGGTCCAGGAAAATGCTTCAGGTCTGTTTTTGCGCATTGGCAGTCCAATGGAAATTTAATGCAACGTATGTTAACGAACAACACGTGTTCATGCAATGCACAGAAAAGGAGACGTCTGAATGAGCCCTACAAGTCTACCTGGTTAAATTATAAGCATTCCTTGTGCTTTGATGAACGTGCCATCTTGTACATCTCAGTGATTCCGATTAGGGATGCACCGATACTGGTTTTTCGGTATCGAGTACCGATACTTATATTTCGGTACTCGTTGATACAGAGTACTGATACTGGTACTTGCGGTAGCATAGAGCAGTCTACCCGGGCAATCGGGAAGCCGACTCCATTCCAATTGGCCAGCTGGATGCTGATTGGCTGGGAAGCCGGCTTCCCAGCCAAATCGGCATAGAGGCCGGCCAAACAGATCTGATATGGCGACACAACACCAACCCTGCAAGCACCTCATTCAGCTTCCTGGCTCCATGTTTCCTAGCGACACTGACGGTCAGAGGAAATCTCCCTCTGACCGAAGGATAAAGTATCAGGAAAGGTATCGGAGCATTTGGGCGAGTAAGAGCACTCACCCAAACACTCAGTATCGGCACCGATACTAGTATCGGCGCATCCTTAATTCTGATGCACCTCAGTGGTTTTGCTAGCAAGACCTCAGAGCTCCAATTCCAAGGCCTGAAATACATACCATGGTCATTATGAGAAGGTCTTTCTGGCTTGAATTTCTAGGCAACTACATGGCTATGATCAGTAGGTTCTAAGCAGTAGACTGGATGTATTTAAACTCCTGGATATTATGGAGAATGTAAATGTGGAGTGGAACCACTCCAGTTCCATCTACAAAATAAACAGAAAAACCTGGACGGCTGCTACAGACCTGGAAGATTGTAAGTCAGCCTGTAATTCAAGCTCTGATGGACTCCACCTATACAGGAAATACTTTACTTTTAAGTGACATGACACCAACACGGGAGTGTCTGAAATATGCAAACTAGAAATGCCAATACGGAGACTTCTTTCGGGGCAGTAGGGCTGCAACAACTAATCGGCATAATCGATTCTTATCGATTATTGAAAAAGTTGTCAACTTTTTAAATAATCGATTAATCGGCTTCAGCAGTTTATAGAAACAGATTCTATAGAATAGTTTCCCGTCTACAAATACCCATCATCACTTTGAATTACAGTTAATAACCAACTAGAAAGAGATGCAAGGTCAAATAAGGTTAAACATCACTGCAATCAGAAGATCAGTACAACTGCACAACATTTTTCATTTTAGGATAAAAGGTGGACCAGAGGAGAAAACAAAAAAACAGTTACATTTAAGATACATTCAAGTAGGTAACTGCAAGCCAGACAGAGCCCATCCGACCAAAGTTTGGCGTTTGATCATCTTAGTGACAGGATGCGGCTTCACGCTGGTAGACCGCTGCACGCGTCAACTTTCACTCCCATGCGCCGGCTTCTACATGGATGTGTACGCTGTACAGCTCTGCCCCTCCATGTGTACAATGCCATTAATGACACTTCCCGAGTTTGGTTACTTTAAATGCAGGATTTCTGTGTTTAAATGTACACGCATTTCCGTGCATTTTGAAGCACTCTGTGCATCTCATCTATCCCTGGATGCACAGAATTCTATTCTCTAAACACAACTAAATGCACCCAACTGCCGGCAAATGCACAGTGTTAAGTATACCATTAAAATTGATGTGCATTTATATGCGCTTAAAAATAACCTATAAATGCATGTATGTCATTGCCTGTATGAATAAGATCTTAGGGCTGCAATTACCCGTTAAATGTCACCCTAAATTTTATTGCTGGAAACCAAAATAACGTAAAAACAGTTTTGTTTTGTTTTCGTAAATAGACATGTGAAAGCATAACAGATAATGACAAAAAAAATGTTACAGGAAGAATGATTAGTTATTCAATGCATGCAGTTATTTGGAAGAGATGTTCAGGAACATGTGAAAGGAAATAGCAAACCTAAAAAGAAGTTACTTGCATGTAAATGTGTTAGTATTAACATTTTTCAAAGAAATGTAGAAATTCCCCAAATCTGAAAAAAAACCCTCAGTTGTGAGATTCTGTGTATACTGGATGTAAGGCCTAGGTTTATCATCATATGGCATTTACAACTTCATTACATCATCAAAACTGCTAGTTTAAGCAATTACTACATATAGATATTGCACAATGCATACAATCATTACAAACAGAAATGAAGAAGATGAAGCCGCCACCTTTAACACTTATTTAAATGACTTTTTTTAAACTATTGAATCCCATAGCTAAGGCTAAAGCTCAGCCAGTGTTCTGGAGACATGGAGTAGACCACATTTAAGGCATGGAGGCTCAGGTTCAGAATATTTCCCTTCACTTCCTGTTCTGTCACCAGGCAACTGGGTCCAAAGTGAGGGGTATAGAAAGTAGTAAAAAGTGACAGAAGTTCCAACACTTTGCTAATCTATCCAAAAACTAAAAGAAAAAAAAAAAGTATTGATTGGATGGAGTTGGGCGCTGCATTTTGGCTGAATTACCCATTAGCTCCTAACATACTTGGGACTCCCGTGGCATACAGCAAACCCATCCAGTATCAGTAGATACCTATGTGTTTTTGCATGTTCTCTGTAGTGTACTTGTAATAAGCATTCACACTGCATTACCAATAGCACAAGGCTGGAGCATACAGCGCCGTTCTAAGTCTGTCACTGATGAATGACAACAGCTGTATGAGAAAGCTGGGGAATGCCATTGTGCTTGTTTACATGCTCTGTGCACCGTTCTCACACTTAACCGGGCAGCATGTGTTTTAACCTGAAATCCTGGACAATTCCTCTATACACATTACATATCCGCTTGTTTTCTTGCCTGAAATCTCAAAATTCTATATGATGCATGCTGCTGAAAAGAGGCCCCTAAAGTGTAGTTTTGCAGTCAAAACATTGAGAACGCCCACTATAGGTTTATGTGTTCCCCATTCACACCGCATGCCAAAAAAACATTTACATGTTTTTTTCCTAGCATTTATTTGGATAGAGAGCATCTCTGAAGTCTGATGAGACACAGAGATTTGCAGTACAGTCAATCTCCTGGTCCCCCCCACTGACCACCATGTCACGACTGTGGCCATTGAAGATTTTTTTTCCTCTCGCAGGGTTGCTTTAACTAAAGGCAATCTTTGCTACCTTATAGAGCTTTGATTATAGGGTCAGTTTGAATTGCCCAGCAGCTTTCTTTAACCAGTCATGTTTTAAAGCACATTGAATTTCATATTGAACCCCAGGCAAACAGCTAAAAACACACAATTAAATGTATATATGAAAGCTGTATTACAAAGTCATATTTCTGTTCATCCAGCCCTAAGATTTTCACAGCTCTCAGGGCAGGAGACACGATTTTTTTTTCTTTGATTGCAGTTAACACTTACAGGTCTTGTCTTTCCGCTAGACTACAAGACAGTGAGAGGAGAAGCAGCAGATTGATAGAGAGCTTAGTGACGCAGATGAGCCAATGACCTTGTAATGCAGTACAGCTTGTGCTGCTCCGTACCCTCATCTGAGCTCTGCTGTACAGGGGCTGCAACCAAGCCACATTCCAGTATGTACAGTGCTTGCATTAAAAACAAAATCATTTCATGATGTATTAATTACGGAGCTTCATTAATTTGTGTCTTTAATATCTGCATGGAGTTCAACTTTAAGGGCCCGTTCCCTCCAGGTCCGTGTGATTAACACACGGTACTGTGCAACGTACCTACCATGCTTTACAATACAGAAGGTGCATTGCAGATCATTTGAATAGCAACCCAAACACCTCATATCCTCAATGCAAGCAACCTCGCCTCAACGGGCTGTACCACAATACTGTGCATTGTGATGGGGGGGGAAAAAAAAAAGTATCGTGGCACAATGCGCTGCAGCACAGCCGATCACATTGCGTATAGGAGGTGCGTTTGGGATGCCATTCAAACTGCAACACACCTTCCCCACTGTAATGCGTTGTAGGTGTGTTGTGCAGTACCGTGTGTTTAGTGCATGAAACAGTGCGATTAACACAGGGACCTCAGTGGGAATGGGCCCTTAGGGCTTTAAGAATAAATTCCTAGAAAGAAAGTGCATCCTGTAAGCAGAAACAAAAAATTGCATGTACATTCCCAGCATCTGACTGATCCTCCAAACAGAACAGACGCAAGTTTCGCTGCAAAAATAAAGATCACTGTATAATAAAGCGTAGTCAGGGGGGAAAAAAAAAACACAAAAACACAAAAAAGACCACATGTGGAACATTTAGCTGTTGAGTATAAAGCAATATGGGATGTTAAAATGTTAACGATGATCTAAGGCATAGATATTGAGAATGATAGATGACCGTCTTATATACAGCAGTAATAAAAAGTAGCAGATTCATTCTATTATAAGGAGGCAACAGCTGACTATAAAAACACTTTAAAAACAAGGACATGAAATGAAAACTGAGAAATAAAAAGGCTCGTACTGCGGCAAACATGTTACTGCGAAATGTCAGAATGTTGCTCCGAAGCTAGATGACATTAGGGAATTCTCAGTCAACGGGGGCAGGTGGAGGCAAAGATTAGTCCATCAAATTCCAACAGAAAGCAGGTGCCTTGGAACAAGGAAAAACAAGACTGAAAAGTAGAACCGGTAGGTCAATTTTGTAAGCGACGCAAAAGACTGGTGCTGAATGCTAGATCTGGTCTTGGCACAAACAGGAAATATATCACAGCGGCTGTAGACATAAGATTGTCGTCCCCCAAGTGGGATTATTTTAATGGAACATAGGAGCTGCTGTTAATCTGTTTTTGAAGGTGCATGCTTCCTTCTCAGCCGTCATCCTTGTCCACCCTATAGCGTACAGGCGGCCAATAGATTTTTTTTTTTTTTAAGAGGCCACATGAGAAACTGGTGCTGTTGTCGAGGGCTGAACCAAGAGCCTATTGGTTCAATCCTCCCCAGCAGTCCCAGATACTCATGATTAATGCACGGTACCATGCAAGGCAGCTAAAAGGTGCGTTGTATTGTCATTCATTTGAATGGCACCCCAAATGCATATCCTGGCCGCAATACTGTCAGCGACACTGCAAGTAGTGCATGCACTTTTTTCAACTGCACCGCAACTAAATGTATTGCTGTAACTACGCCGCAAGTAGTGCATGCACTTTTTTTTTTTAATGGCACCTCATCTAAAGGTATTGTGGTACCATGTATTGTGGCATGGTAGAGCACATTGAGGGTGGTGTGTTTGAGATGCCATTAAAATGAATTGCAATGCACCACCTGCACAAGGTATGTGCATGGCATGGTACCGTGCGTTAAATTGTACGATTAATTCAGGGACAAGGATGGGGTAGAGCTGGAAGACTGTCACTGGTTGTTAGGACCGCCCAGCGGACATAGCAACCAATGACTGCTGATTACCTGTGATGTCATTGGTTGCTAGGAAGCCAGCAGTCCTAGCAACCAAGGACTGAAGAGGAACGCGGTCTGGAAACAAACCGATCGCGGACCTGTGCTGGGCTATGGCTTGCTGTGCATCCATCGTCAGCTAGCCATAAATGAGCGCACCTTGGTGATCAGCCTGTGTGCAGACTGTGGGCCGGATATGGCCCACAGGCCGCAGAATGCTCAGATCTGCTCTAGTGGGTCACCAGTGCAGAAAATACATGTATTTTAGTGTCCAGGCAGCTGATCTACATTTGATCAGTCTGGATCAATGATTTACCGTGTACTGAAGTCAAGATCCTAATGCATACACCTTAAAAAAACAGGTCAACAATGGCAGTTCTTATATTTCTACATAGAAGGCTTCTTTTTAGCTGTACTGGGCTCTAAATGTGTCTATGGGCACCAGCAGACCCAAATAAAACTACCTGTCAAAGAATCTTATAGGGCAATGGTAATCAAGTGTGGTGCCTAAGTTTCAGAAATGCTAGTTGTCCAAGATATGCAAGGAATGTCGAGCTATGCTACCCCTTTCCTTCCTTTAGTCGAACATGCATGCTCTGGTGATCCACATATGCATGTTTATGCTCAAACTGTGGCAGCAAATTATGCCACCCTTTAACATCAATGCTCAGACAGTAAGCACTTTCAGCCGACAGGCAATAGCCAAAATTCATGGCCATGAAGGTATTAGGTTCCTGTTCAAACGCTTTTAGGCACACCATTGCCCGATTTTGGTTTACTTTAAAAGCAGGCCGAATCAAACTTAACTGAAGGATTTAATAGGATTCATAAACTTCTACACAGCTTGTGACTATTAAAGGGTACATTGATTCTTTGATTATACATTTAAACATAAAAATAATGCATGTACATACGGAATGCACTCATGCACACTAGCTAATTGGGTGTCTTCCATTTTCCAAATGAAAAATGTTTTTTTCTTCTTCTTAAAAGCAAAGTTTTGCATCACAAAGATTAAGATAAAAGCACTTCTAGCTGACAATATAAGCTATCAGTATGTACATTTCTCTACAGCTTTTGCCTCCTTTTGTCACTTACAGATGACCCAAAAACTCTAATTTAGGCGAGATAAGACAACGGATGCTCCCATCTAACCATGCAATGCATGGAGCCTAAGAGACCTATTATCAAAAATGGACATATGTGTGGGTGAGCCAAAATAGACCTATTATCAGACATGGACATATGTGAAGGTGAGTGAGTACAACCGGCAACAAGTCGCCTTTTGCAGGGCTCTATCAGGCAGCACTGGGCAAGCAACGGCTGATTGGAAAGGTACCCGCTTGACTGCTATTGCCAGCCATTAGAGAGCGCCACTACTTTACTTTGAAGAGCAGGTCAATCTACACAGCCCCTAAGGCCCCATTCACATTGAGCGATTCGCGCGTTTGTCCCACGATTTGCATTTTGTGCGATATCGTGCGTTTGTCACGCGTTGCGTGCAAATGCTTGCATTGAGCAAGCTAGAATCGCGGAAAAATCCGCTACAAAAATGGTCCTGCTGTAGCGACGCACGACAGCTACAGAGCGAGCCCCATTGGATTGCATTGGAGAGCGATGCCGCGATATCGCGGGAATTACCGCACGATAAATCGCTCAGTGTGAACGGGGCCTCAAGGTTATGCAACTACAGCTCTACTAAACCTTTCTCCTATGTGGAGAATTCAAAAATGGTTTTAAAAAGGGGATTCTGTGACCAGAGCCGAGGCATAGCACATTCCGAACAGGTTCCAGTGTAAAAACAGAACAAGAGCAGAGGGGTGTTCTACTTTCTTGTAGTGGATAGCTCCCTTTACACATCACACACACGTGTTAAAATGATGCATGCATTACTAGAAGTAGGTTTAGTAGAATATTTAACAATGATGGATATGACAAGTTAATGTATGGAGGCAGGTTTCTCTTAAGATATGCAAAGAATACAGCAACTTAAAAACAAACCCCCCAAAAAACAACATGTACCAAAATAAATACCATACCTCATGACGCACCATGATCCTCAGGGAGTATAATAATTTAAAAGAAAAATAAACCCCATAGACTTGTCATAGTTTGTCATTGTAAAAAACAAACAAAAAAGAAGGTTATAAAAACATGACACCAAAACATAGCACTCACCTGTTAACAAAATTTTAAATATTAAGAAAATAAAACCACGCTTTGCTCCTTCAGCTTCTGGCCCATTACAGGGTATCCGGACTACATTAAAGATAAAATTTCTTTGGGCCTTTATCCTGGAAAGTATTTTCCTACAAAATGAAAAAAAAATCATGACTTTGCTGCAAGTAATTTAAAAACTAAAGCCACATAATGCTTGAAAAGTACTGGACGGATGCCAGGAACTTTCCTGACTTCTAAAGCAAGATTCCCGAAGTAGACAGTGTTTCATTCATTAACTAGAAAATGTACCCGATACTTATACCATATAGTCCACAAGTATATACATCAGCATGTCCAACAGTTTGTCTTTAATAAAGGGCAGTACAAATGACATATCGGCCCCTACTTCCCATTAACAGCCTGCTGAGAGGTGACATCTCTGTGCTCCAACCACAAATGATCTAATACAGGGGTGGACAAATTCATTTGGAAGCCAAGCAGGAGCTCCACTGACAACTAATCTGACAATTTAGGCGACAGCTGTCAATTTTAAGGAGCATTGCTACCTGGCTCCTGGGATTTGTCCAGCCCTGGTCTAGTGGTACTTCATTCTGAAGCTGTCAAATGAGAAATTACTATTGCTCCGCAAAAAGCCACACTAGATCTGCCTATAACAATAGGACAAATCTTCAAAGGGTGC